ATTGTAAAACCGAGGACAGCCACGCGCTGTGAGACACCAAATGCCTCTGGGATGGCGCTGATGGCTGCTGTGTAAGTGGTTGTTCCGTACATGCTACTCAAGTCAATATCAATGGGCCATTCCATGGCATGGGTAACTTACATTACAAACACAAAAAAGAATGAACAAGCCGATACGTAGACCTTCTTGAGAATTGACCAACTCATGGGACTATCGGGATCAGTGGGTGACAGGTTATGTCCTCCAGATCCGGCATTAGTCCTGATACACGGCTCATGTTCATCGTCAGGTGTGTGTCGGCCGTCCATGTTTTCTGTATGTGACGCTGCGTCGAAGGTCGACATATTGGGCGTTGGTTCAAAGCTTGTCATATTGGGAGTCATGTCATGCGTTGCTGTATGGTGTGCTGCGTCCATGTTGTTCGTATTGGAGATAGATGTTGGAAAGAATCTAGTTGAATCGGACTGGGTTGAAGTATGAGAGTGGTGTTGTTTGATGGAATGAGAAAACAGATGCCAAGGTCAATCACTTATATACACCATTACCTCGGACCCCAATATTGATCCTCTCATCAATTCTTCCCGGAGAGATGCGCCGAAGCTTACATCGCCCTTTCCAGAGGCGAAGCGACGCCGTCTTCATCAGCCTTTTGAGATAAACAGAATGAAGTTGTCAAATATCGATCACAGCCTGGGCTCAAACCGAATAAGAATTCATTTTCGCCAATGTTTTATCGAAGCTTTGGCCGCCAGCTAATCAGAATTACTGAATGCAGTAAAGCTGTTGACCTTGGTTCCCGCAGGGCTGAAAAGCTTAGCGCTGACAGTGAGGCTTGTTCTGATTGCTTGTTTCGAGGTTCATAATCAAGATTGCCTAATCGAGTAAGCTGCTCAATAGTACAGGGGATCTTCAGCGCCTGGAGGATCAAGTGAACGAAAAATCGTATTTGGCAAACATTCAGCGGATCATGACGAGTTTGATACTAATAATTGCCTTCTTGATCAAACAGAAATTGACTCCAAGCACAGCCGCGTGCAGCCCGGGCTTCTTTCGCGACTGATGGCTACCCGCTGTTGACGATGATCTACAGCGCCAAGCGGGTCCTAGCACTCCAGTTGATGGACGCAAATATCACAATTAATTATCGAGGAAGGCCATTCACTCGAAGCTTGTGCAATTAGAGGCACATTTATATAATTTAATGCAGCCGGTATTAATGCCAACGCTACTGAATTGAAATAACTACATGTTATTTGTTGTATGCCCGTTAACATCCCCAAGTCCCAAGCTCCAACAAGTCATCATGCAAAGTAGGCGGAGAAAGCGAGCAGACTCAAGATAGCCACAACCATGGCGGGTTGACCAGTGGGACAACCCGATGCACCGTTCATTTCATCCTTTTTCATATCCATCTCGTCGGTCGAATTCATAGAGCCGCCATCAGATGTCAATTTTGCCTGGCCAAAGTTGGCGGCAAACTTCTCACACCAGAGACCAACGTAAGAGAAGTCTTTCGCAGTATGGCCAGCATCAAGCTTAACCATGATATCCATCTTGGATGAGGTATCGCTGATGCGCTCTTTGTTGATACGGAAGCCGGATGAGAGGTCTTCAGTCTTGGATCCCCACCAGTAGAGAGCAGGTGCGGATGCGTCTTTGAGTTCGTAATCGGTGATCTTGAGTTCAGTGTTGCTGACAACCTCAACTGTACCGCCAAGTCCAGCATCCAGCGAGGATAGGGCACCAGAGTCGCCCATCTTTGCGGCCATGGCAGCGGATGCAAAGAGAAGAGCGGCGAGCTTGAAAGCCATTGTGAAAAGAAGAGGTGTATAAAATTGAGGTTTGAGGTAAATGTTGACTTTGCAGAAAGGTTGCAGTAGATGGAGGTAGATTGTAATCCGAGTTTGATTGCTGATGAAGCTGGTTTCATTGCACTGTCTCAATCTTCTTATACTGCCGTACTGCTTCACCTCGATTCTATAAGAGGCAATTTAGATGATACAGCAAATAAACCCCAGAGACAATTATCCGCCTCGGAGTTTGAGGCTAAATGTTTCACAGCAGGGCTTTGCCTAAATTTACCATAAAATTAAGCTTGTTTCCATCCGCATTGCCCAAAAAGGAAATTCTGATTAGCAATGGTGGTCAACCCAGCCAGCGCCCGCACCTACAAGCATAGCCTCGACGCCACGTCAGGGATAGCATCAGAACATTTGATCATTCAACAATGTTTCTCATTTACCGTGCTGAGATGTTAATTTCTCAGCCCCAGTTCTAGCATTTATTTTTTGGAATCCAGTCAGCCACAGGATTTGAACGGTAAGTTTGATCAATCATCAGTTGCAGCAGTATCTATGCACTGCCGCCATGCTTTTAACAATATAGACTTGTATCTCAAGTATTTAGTGGTTATCTTCTCAATATCCATGTGCAATATTGAATTATCACTTATTCCCCTTGTCTTACGCCTGTTGAGCATTCTTGCCATTCGAAAATGACTGATCCTGTGATCATCGATCGCTACACTGCTGCAAGAGTTTACTTTGGCAGCGTTGTTGGCTTAATATCCTTGGAATCTCTCACTCCCTTCAGTATCTACGCCTTCCAAAGATACAATAAGTGTGAGAGCTCTTTTTCTCCATGCTTATACTTTGCTAATTCATCCAGATCGACGACGGGATCGAAATGTGTTGCACTGGAGTATTACTGTCTGGCTTCACAAACTACACAGCTTCCCGCTTTCTCTCCTATACTTAGACTGGCACGTTACCGATGTTGCTCGCTTCACAACTTTTCTCGCCCTTAACTTGGTCTTCAGCGTACAATCCAACGAGTTCACGGCCGATTACACCCTGTACGGCTGGCTAGCAATTGCCAATGCTGGTCTCGCACTGCTGATGGCATCCCGAAACAATCTGTTCGCATCCCTTCTGCGTATTCCCAGCCCAGTCCTCCTTCAGTACCATCGCTGGATCGGCCTTGCAACAGTTGCTCATGCAACAGCCCATGTATCGTTCAATATCCAGCATTACATCGAGACAAAACAGGTCACCACCAGCTTCGGAAACCATCGGATCCAGGTGGGTTTGATGGCCTGGATCGCTCTCGTCATGCTCTTCCTTACGGCCCTGCCAATCGTGCGACGCCGCTTTTTCGAGGTCTTCTACTACACTCACGCTCTGTTCTTCATTTTCGTCGTCGGGGCTTTGATCCATGCCTCGCATGGGCCGGAACTCATGCTTCCAGGGCTTTTGCTCTGGGGCATAGATCGAGCAATCCGATTGGCGTACAATTTTCGCAACATCCAAGTGCAGAGTGTTGAGGCATTTGAAGGCAACGTAACAAAGTTCAAGGTCAAGGGTCTGAGGACTCGTACTCCCGGACAGGTTGTCTGGCTTCAAATCCCAAGGGTGTCCTTTGTGAACTGGCATCCATTCACTGTCGCCAGTGCACCGAATGATCCCGGGAAGACTGCGACAATCGCCGTCCGAGGTCTTGGGGGCTTCACTAAAGCTGTACAGTATGCTGACTGCAACAGCGATGTTAATCAGCATGGGTGTGCTTCCTTGGACTCGAACAGCATTATGGCTCATCCGCTCAAGATGCGTCTTGATGGCCCATACGGTGTTGGGTCAGTATCCTGGGGCTTGCTGCCGGTGACGGTCCTCATCGCCGGTGGCATTGGAATTACGCCAGGTATCAGCATTGCGTCTCATATCATCAGAAAAGCAGCTATTAATGTAGGCAGTCATTCTATGTCTCACATTCATCTTCTCTGGGTCGTCAGAGATGCTCAGCATATCCAGTGGTTCGCAGATGAACTTACTGAACTTGTTAAGGAATGTGCAAATCCAGATTCGCCAGCAACGCTAGACATATCTATCTTTGTCACTGGTGGAGCGCACAGCGCGGTTCACATGAGTGAGCCATCTCACGAAATGCAGGGCATGAGCTCTCCAAAACCTTGGTCTATCCAATTGGGGCGACCAGATCTAAAGCAGTGGTTCGGGCAGCTCAAGTCTAAGCGTCTTGGTATGGATACAGCCGTGAACTTGTGTGGACCAAGAAAACTTCTCAAGCAAGCTAGAGCGGCTGCATGTGATGTTTCTGACAGAGAAGGACTTTTCTTTTTACAGGAGGAAGTGTTTGAGCTATAAGCTGTCGTTCATGTTCTCTGTTTACCTAAATGCTCAATTGATCACTGCATCCAAATGATCAAAGGTCTTCTTAAGCAATCCTCATCATAAAGTCATCAATTCTCATCCTAAACTTATGGAAAATGTAGTCTAAACTGTTCCTTCGAGGCACATACTTACTGAGGTCTTCGATGCGACCAATCAGGTCGTAGCTTCAGAGGGCCATTCTTCTTATCTTATCTCTGATATTAAATTTCTCAGTGCTTGAGGTACGGGCAGGTACGAGACAAAGTACGCCGAAGCTTCAACACCAACGCCACAGCGAGTCCGCTGACAAAAGCATATCGCAATGGTTACAGAAACAGCAAAAAGAGGGTTCGGAAGGCGATGGGATTGCTCCCGCCAGGGCTTGAACCTGAGACCTTCGCATTACTGGATACTCGGGATTGAAGTATTAGTACGACGCTCTAACCAACTGAGCTACGGAAGCCGTCCGAATGCGTTGGAAGCCGAGACTCTTATCCCAGCTCAAAATTCTCGAACAGAGCGAAGTGACCACTTTCTCGGCGGCTTCGTATATCTTTAGGCTGCCTGAACTCGATCACAGGCTCTTTGTGGTATTGTTGTGGCTATATTGGTGCAATTTTATCAGGTTCTCTGAGACTTACACGAAGATGGCACCATTCGAGTTCCGCAGATGGAGTCAAGGATATCCCAGCTGGGTACCAATGGTACAAGAGCGGTCAATCCAGGTAGCTTGGTGGCATGTCGGGTCATTGCTATCATGATTTCAGTTGAACTCAACATAAGATGACCTGGGCGATTGTCGTCACGGCCCGCCAATTCACGGCAGATTGTCCGCCACTACGCCTGACGGGTCTCATATAATTTTCCGTTCGTCAAACGGTATCCAGCGATGAAGCGAGCGAAACTGTCGATGGCTTCATCGTCGTCTTTGATAGCTGTAGCGCGGTTGGGGAAGGCCAGCGAACAGTGACCAACCAGATTGTCGAGAATGAGAGAACCGCCGCGGTGAAAGATGATGACCATACCGCCAAGTGGGTCTTTTGGCAGCATCTTGAGAGTATGTCTGATAATCTTTTTCTTTCGTTTCATTCCATATAAGCTATGGCAGAAGAAAATGACATCGTAATTCTGACCCTTGCAGCTCTCTGTTGTGAAGGGTGCCGGGCGAATGAGTGAATGTTTCAAAGAGGGAAGTGGTCTCTCGTCCTCCATAGGAGATAGCCATCTTGTGAGACTTTGAGTGTATTGAAAAGAGGGCTCCAATGCGACGTATTTCGTGATCCTCTTCCTCAGAATGGCCGGCAGGTGCCCTAGAACACTTTCCGGGCCTGGGCCAATCTCCAAGACTAAGATCTCATCTCGTGCTAAGAGGGCTATCAATTCAGACAGTTGAGCAATAATGAAAGTCTTCTGGTACGTCTGCTCGCCGGAGGCCTGGGCAAAGAGGCTGAGACCATTGTCGTACTCTTCGTCGTTCAATGGTTTTCGGGGTGCTTCATCGCTAACCTTTTTGAGGGCTTTCTTGAGAGCGTTGAGAGTTGCCATCTCAAGAAATTTGTGATGCTTTTGATGGAAGAGGGTTGAGTCTCGACTTCAACAGATTGACAGATGATGATGGGAAGAAGTTCCCTTCTAGGCATTATATATTTATCATAATGTTCAAAACGAACGTCACTTTGTGCACAAACTGATGTCTCATGATGTTCTTTTATTTGTCTTCGTTTATTGAGTCTGTTTTGGTAAATCGATCTCATTGACAGACAGTATGGCAATCGCAGGGAGTTTTCTGGTTGTGAATACAAAAATAAACAAAGCGCATTGTTACATCTGAGTGAAGTGCCTGGCAGTAATCTTTGAGTAACAAGCAAACAGTAGGACAGGTCCTTTGAGACAAAAACAAGAAGATGACAACGCAAAAAGATAACATGCATGAGTTTTCACTGAGTCACATGAATACAATCAACCACTTTGTGATAATGGGAAAATATCAAAAAAAAAGAAAGCCTCGCAAACGCTCGCAATCGAATTTATATAGGAACAGCCCGATGCGGGGGTCGAACCCGCAACCTTGAGATCGCGTACTCGTAAGAGTCTCACGCTCTACCGATTGAGCTAACCGGGCGTGGCTCTTATTGGATGGGAGACGGTGCACTACTTCGGTTTGTGGATGTTGCATAATCGCGTGCGGATTTATGCATATTTATGCAAAGTGGCCGCTGCATAAGCTCTTGGAACACTGCACAAGTCTGAGGCTTCACTGCAGGACCAAGAGCAACTCAAGCTTGTGACGAAATCAGAGTTTGCGTGCGCAGTCAAACAGCATGAATAGCAATGTGACGCTCCAGGTAAAGGGGCCATCTTTTGAAGGGCTGTGCTTTGTGAATGTTGGCTTGCTCACGGCACAGTTCAAGATGTGAGTCTTGGAGCACTATGATAACAATGCGGGGGAGAAGTTGGGCAGGGCAATCATGACACGTACGCTATCTCTTGTCGCGCTCGTGTCGCGTCTCCAATGCCTTTGGTCTAGTGAGCTATTTTTAGCTTACTCGTTTGCTTGACATCAAAGCCAGGTAGAATAATCACATGTAGCACATGAGTTGAGAAACTCACCAAACAGAGCTGTCGCTTAGCAATCAAACTGATCAAAGAGTACCTACTTTGTTTGAGTTATACATGGCGTTATAAAAGTCATTTTTCTCATCAGGTACATCCCCTAACGGTTCCTGTTAGCGAACGATAAGCCAGGGTGTAGGCCAAACTACATCTCTAGGGTAGTGCAATGCGTTGGTCTTGCACTACGAAGAACGTCATTTCTATCCTTATCTTATCTTATCACGTTCTATCTTGCATGCTTTTCTGCAATTGGCATTGCTGGTTTGTGACCTCCACTACGAGCTTTGGAGTCAAACCCATGCCTTCTTTGTTCCGATTTCGCGTCCTTTGATGACTTGTATCTACCAAAAACATATAATTGCTGTGACACACCGCTACCAGAAACCTTATCAGGAAAGCGCTTGTTCTTTCAACCCAGCAGGTCCTTGAGAAATTCCGTCAGCAGTTCTTCTCTCCAAATAGTATAGTGCGTCTCCCCCGGATACTCCTTGTAGACCGCCTTTGGTAGCCTCCCTGCCATGTATCGTCCCATTTCTGGTGAAGTATTCTCGTCTGCAGACCCATACCACAATCTGATACCCTCGTAGTCGATGTCTTCCACGTTGAAACCCCAAGGTTCAGTGTTGAGCTTCATCTCCCGGCCATGGCCCACCCCTCCTTGGGCATAGACTTGTCTGAAAACCCTGATAGCAGACTGGAAGGCGTTTGGTTTCTCTAGAACTTCTCGATCTTTTGGTTCGAATACCTTGATCTGTTCTCTCCAGACTGCCTCCATTTTGGTCGGGTCGGGATCTTGTGCCGCAGCGAGAAAGATGCCTTCCATGTACTTTACGAAGTCTTCGTTCTGGTCTTTCCATACCATGATGAGTTTCTGAATGAGCTCACTCTGACCAGCCTGACCAGCTTCCCAGGGCCCGACACCAGCGCATATGCCGACCGTTAGAAGTTCCTCTCTAGGCAATGCTTGTGCGCATGCAAGAGTATAGCCAGCACCTCCACTCGTTCCAATAATGCGATAGTTGGGAAGCTCGAGATGCTGAATCAAAGCTCTCAGATCGGCTGGATAGTCCAAGACTCTACGGTGCGGATAAAATGTGGAATTCCCAATACCCGGACGATCTGGGGCAATCCAGCGGACGCCAAGCCGTTTCGCGAGAGGGTCTTCGAACCCAGAGAGCGTGACTCCCGAATCCGGTGTTCCATGGATGTAAATTACTGGAGTTCCCGTACGATCACCGAACTCATGATAGCCGAGACGCCTACCGTCGGGGAGGTCGATAACCTGGCCTACTGCTGTCGACATGGGCCTGCATCGCGTGGTCGATATTCTGGGTACCCACTTTGCGGTTGAGGGAACGGGTTTACTGATGACGCGCTTGATCGCGACCGAGAATAACTGGCAAGAATGTGTTCGCGATAAAAATGCATCCATCGCCTCGGTGTTGAAGAATCTGTGATCCGGCCAACTTGGGCGAGCTCATCCTTTTTACTGGACAGGATCGACACACGGCGGTAATGCTGACCCGACATATTTCGCGATTTATTATCGTGAGGCGTGCATTACCCATTCAAGTTTGCTCGACTTCTTGAGTGAGCAGTTATAGCCAATGCTAACTAGGTGTTGCCCAGTTCACGGGATCTCAATGTGGTGTTTTGAAAATATCGTCGTTTGAGTTCTGCTGATCTCTTGACAACCGAACGGGATTCCGTGTTTGTGGATCTTGACGAGGTTGTAGGTGCTGATTACCGCCAAGACCACAGCCTTCGAGGCTGAGCAAGTATGTTTCAGGAAATTACATAATGATATTCATTTTAGACTGAGGGTAATCACACTGATGGGTTGCTCTCGCAGTCTCCTCATTGTCTCAGTGATGAAAGGATGCACTAAAATCTTATGCCTGGCAGCACTTTGATTGCGATCTGGCGATTACTACCTATATGATGAAACAGTCGCCTACTGACTCAGCCTCTCGGGCTCCTCAATTTTTGATTCGATAATTGCGAATTCTGGCGTACAGACTCAAGGCTTTTGGCTATGGGCACCCTTTTCCGCGATGCGATAACGAGCCAGTTCATGCTCGGACATACATACACCCAAATTGACAGACTGGCCCTGACTTGACTATTGCCAAGTGACAAGATCAGCGGTTGATGACTAAATGATCAGCTTTATGAGTCCTGCCTCTCCTCTTTCATGCAAACCAACCCGAGATCCCGAATGTGGAACTACGATGCCCCAAGGATCAAGCTTTGACCAACGTGCTCTCCAAGCCGGAAATCATGAACCTGCTGTAGTGTTCATGCTTTCGATAGAGAAATGACGGGACGAGATGTTTGGCTTGGTGGAGCGAGTAACAATGTGATGTGACCTTTGTGGGGAGTGAGTTGCTTGAAGAATATATAATCTTGGAGCCCATCAAGACTTGAGCTATTGACAATCCACAAAGCTTTCGAGCCAATTTCAACATCTCCTACGACGCAGCCTCGCTCCTGCCCACAATGAAATTCCCAATCGCCAATTCGCTTGCCATCCTTGCTGCTGTCTCCAAGGTTTCAGCATGGGGCCGTAGGACCTCGCCGTCCCTTATACTCTACTCTCGCTAATCTCTCAGTAACCATTTACAACAACGTTGATAATTGCGACGTGAACGATGAAACCGAGTATAAAATCCTTGAAGGCAACCAAGGCGACTGTTATACCTTCGGTTCAAGGATGCCCGGCGTAAGCTGCGGCCACTACATCCGAGGCGGTGTCGAGAACAAGGGCTGCTCCGGAATGTTCAAGGCTACATCGGTTTGGACGAAAGAAAACTCCAATTGCAAGTTCTATGCATACACCGACTGCAGAGACTACGGCACCCAGAGGGAGAATGGAGAGTGTCTTAACACAAGAGAGTTGCTTGTCTTCAACCCTGATGTTGATTCATGGGAATACATTGCGTCTTTTAGATGCGTAAGTCAAGTTCAAAGATTGAGGACAAATATCTTGCTGACATGACATCGCGATAATAGCAAAACACTGAGTAAGACGCTCAATGGAGGGATCTGTCCAGGCTTCCGGGACCAATCGAATAGTGACATCAGAATCGGTCATGATGTATCCTAGCATTAGCCAAGTTTACTGAACGGGCTTGAGAAAGTTGCAATAAAATGGAACCTGCGGCTCATCATGGACGAAGACAATGTACCAAGAAAGTGGATAACATGAAAATGATTTATAAAGCTAAAAAGCGGATGGTAGAACTATCATACTGATCTGATACTCGATCTGAGTAACTTATAAGCCCCCAAAAGAACAGCCGAGAGTCAGTTCAAGCCATTTATCGAGCAGCAATATCCTTCTTCAAAACCTCAACATCGAAGTGCGAAAGCACAGTAGACAGCAAGTTGCTCTTGTCAGACGTTCCCATCTTCTCTAGATGCTTATCGCGACTTACGACACCCATGACAGCGTGCCACTTGGAGATATTTACATCCATATAGGGAGGGAGTCCGACGAAGGGGTTCCCAGGCTCGGCCTTCTCCAGGATATCTCTGGCATGCTTCAGCTCAGGAACCAGAGTGATATTGGAGCCCATCCAGGAGTGAAGTCCATGGACGACACTCTCAAGGGCACCAACGACCCAAGCATGGTGGGGGCTTGAGGCTTCACTGGCGATAATGACATCGCCAGATGGCTGGATCACTCTATTCCACATGGAGCTGAACTGCTGGGGCCTGAAGAACGCGAAAGCTCCGGCAGTGTTGGCATCCTCAGTCCAACTATAGGCGTGATGGTCGACATAGCTCTTTCTGATGATCTTGTACAGATCCTGTTCACTAATCTGACTGTTTCTATGCAAGATAGCTAGATCACGCAGCAGAAGTTCTTTAAGCACTTGCTCATCAGCGACCTTCTGCTTATGGTCTTTGTTTGTCGACATGAGACATCCAAGGCGATCAGAGTCCTGCTGCCAAGTGTACGAGCACAGAAGAACAGCTGTCTTGGACTTGTCGTCGTAGATGTTGTAAGAAGGATAGACACAAGTTCGAAGTGCGAGGTCGGAGTGACCTAGACCTGCTTCACGAATGTTGAAATCCTTGAGATCGTGGATCCACCATGCATGGTCAAACTTGATGGCGACTTTGCAGGATTGACCATAGCCCAAAGAGCGGATGGCTTGCTTGACGGGATATCTTAGACCAGCTTGACGAGTGTCCATACGGCCAAGACATCCGAGTGTAGTGGTGGCCATGACGGCGTCGTATGAGCGAATCTCAAGCCTTTTCCCAGCCTCAATCCGGAGCTCCACTTTCATCTTGTCAAGGGCGCGAATAGCAGCGACTGGGTTGTGATAATTAGGTTTGCGAGCAATTCTCTCTTCCATCTTCTTGGCGAGCTGTTGAGCGCCGCCGAGCACACAGAACCACTTGGTGTCAGGGCTGAACTCAAAGTCAAGGGATTCAAGGACAGTCTCACTGTGAGCTTGGTCATACCAGTCCGTTCCTCTGCCAGGCTGTTAGCAACAACCCGGAATAACTGTCATGGCGACTCACCCGTTGAAGGTCTCGAGCCACTCAATGGTATCATAGTTATACGGAGGGGGAGGGATGTCCTTGGGGAGTTTCACATTCGGGTTCGCACTGGATGGATCAGCTTTTGAGGGAAACAAGCAGCATCAGAAAGTACTCACGTGCCCAAGAATTGTCGAGTACTGTATGTATCGTATTCCATCATCATCTTCCAGCCTTTGTCACCGGGAGGAGTCTGCTCAGCATCTTCTTTCAGAGCCTGACGAAGTGGCTCAATGTTGGCCTTTACAACCTCATCTGGCCCGACTTTGAGAAGCCTGAGAAATAGTTAGAGTTGATTTTGATACCTAACTATTCATGATTCATGAGACTACTTACTTGGGGTCGATGCTTTTATCAGTATCAACTTGAAACGGGTCAACAGTGCCAGCAGATGTCTGAACACTCTGATAAGAAGCGCCCCAAATGGTGATGTCGTTATAGCACCAAGGGTTTGTGTTGGAAGGGCTAGGTGCCATGTAGTATGGAATGAGAGAACCATCCGGCGCGCTGGGGTTCGTCTTTAGGTCTGTCTTTTCCATGCCAAGCCTTCCAAAGAGCTCGAATGTGCTGACCAGCATAAGCTATCAAGTGGCATCTAGCAGAAGGGGCTGACTTACCGCTTCATGACTGGGTTGTCGGGAAATCGCATTGCGCCAACATCATAGTAGTCATGAGTATCGCGTTGACCACCGAAATTGTAAGTGAACAGGCGACCTCCAACTCGATCTGGCCCAGCCGCCTCGTGGATATCATACTCAAAAGCGAGAGGGATTGAACCCTTCTTCAGTTCACTATTAAGATAGTCCAAGACCATACCCGTGAACAAGCCAGCTGCTCCAGCACCAATGACACCGATCTTGATGACCCGAGGCTTTTGAGCTCCATGATCATGGGGAGCAGAGGACTTTTGAGGAGCAGGGGCGCGAGGGAGCTCAGAGGCCTTGGGAATAAGAGGAAGAGAACCTAACTCAGATTTATCATTGCTGTGTTCGAGAATGGCGTTCCAATCCTGTCGAATGGCTCTGTTGATATGCTGGCGAGCCCATTGGTTTCTGATGGACAAATCTGAGTTCAGATCAAGGACAGACATGATGATGATTGCAGACTATAAGATCTTTTTGAGGTGACAGTTTGAAGGAAGTCTGCACTGAAAACATGAAAAGAACTATGGAGGCCTGAGGAACCTGAGATATATAGCATGACCAGGAGGAGGGAATTGTGATTCAAACCCCATTTCAATCTGTATGCATCAACCCGCCTCCATTCCTGGAACCTCAGCTGTCCACGCAATGATGTCTACGGATGTGTCTACAAATGGGGAGATTTTAATGACACAGAATCACCTACGGGGTGCAACCATCACATGCTGTGCCGTATTCAGCTTGACGCAGAAAAGCAATACTGCAACGCTGACAACAGCACAAGAAGACAACCAGTACGTGATCCTCCAATAACTTTTGAGCGGTCGGAAATTTTAGTAGAAACTGAACCTAATTTCTAAGCCACAGCTCCGTAGTTCAATGCAATATATCCCATAGAGTTCAAGTCTGACTGCTTTCTTTAGCTGAAGTCCCGTCCGGGTCAGGAATGTGACAGCCGGCCCGTGTTGGAGCAACGGGAGAAATGGAAAAGGCGGGGGTGGCACAAGCCACAAACCATTTAAAGACACTAATGGCACAGGTAAACGACGATCACTGATGGGAATGTAACTTGGACTTGGAATTCTCAGTCGTGGATAACTTCGGTGGCGCCAGGGCAGGACGTTTACCCCTCTTGCTCGAGCTAAGGCCATGGATGTGTCTGGCCTCATTTTGTATCGTGCAGATATGAAAATACAGGCTAAGAGGTATGAGCTGGCATGCTATCTTGTATTCTCAGCGACGAAGTAAGTGCGCATCAAATGAGGGCGACTAGTGGGCTCTGCTTGTGCCACGTGCATAATAAATGCAAACTGATGGACTTACTCGTGCTACCAGGTCAAGATGAAGATAACTTGTGAAGAAATTGGATGTTGTATCAGAGCTCGAGTTTAAACTCGCTATATGTTGGGCCAAAAAGCCGCAGCGCGCCCACAGCAAAGCTACATATCCTTCAATGACAGTCCCAGCTACCTGGATCATAACACTATTTAGTGAGATACAAGAACTTGAGACAGCTTGTGACGGATGGTTGGTGCCAAAGTTCCAACTGTCACGTGAGGCCACGAAAGACCATTGAAGTCAAGGGAAACATTCTGTGAATACTGAATCTGGATGTACTCAATGTTGACTGTCTTGGGAGCCGGAACGTCAATGTCGACCAAGAACCTGGGAACGGCATCACGTGGACCGTGAGAAGCAGGAGAAACAGTCTTCTTGTCTGCGCTTTGGCAAGCAGGAAGGTTGATCTGGGTTCGAACTCTGGAGAGCCAGTACTGAGCTGTAACTGTGACGGCGTTCGCGTTGCCGCTTCGGGCTTGGACTGAGGCAGAGGTAGCACCAGCGTCAGCACCGATGAGGAAACCAATGTTACTGGTTCCGCCGCCGAGGTTGGGGTTCTGAGCCTCTGAAGATACTTCAAAGGTTGTGTTCTCAATGATGTTCTTTCCGACGTTGGCGTTGCGGAGCACAGTGTTGGGGTCAGTCAAGATAGCCTGCGTGATGGTACCGGCCTTGTCGAAGCTTGAAAGATCCTGAGGAAGACGGTGAGTGTTTTTATTGGTGAGAGTCTGACTTCTGAACGGAATCTTCTGAGTGCCGCCAACAACAGTTGGGGTGATGTCAACTGGCGAGAAGACAGGTGCGCCCTTCGCAGTGATGGTAGCCGTGAAAGACTGGGCGTTGATAGAGGTTCCGTGAGGAATAGAAGCCATGCGGGACAGAGAAGCTGCAAGAACAGGCATCTGCTCACTGGCGGGAACGTGCATCCACAGACCAGGCTCAAAGTGAATGACGGGCTGCTTCTTGGGTGGCTTCACCATCTCGGTGATATCAGCAATTGTCTGGGTGTATGGCACACCGTTGAGCATGATATCAGCCTGAGTGTCAAGACCACGGTTAGGGACATCATCAAGACGTCCCTTAGCGAAGGCTAGGGACTCGGATGTAAGGTTGAGCTGAAGGATGTTGTCATTGGGATCCTCAGATGGAGGAAGAATAGGAAGAGGTGTAGGAGTAGTTGTTCTTTTTCTAAATTAGTGTACACTTCCACTGGTCTTCCAAGTGTTTTACTGACCCATTGGGGCGGAAAATGGTGTTGAAGCCGAATCCGCTGTATGTTCCAAAGAAGTGTGCCAGAACATCAAGCTGGGACATGGCAACATCACCACCTGCGGGGTCAACACTGGGGAAGCCATTGATGGGGACCAGGTTATCTTGGTCCTCTGGCTGAATGGGGTCAAGAACGGTAGGACCGAACTTGAAGTCGTCACCCAAATCCATGGGGACAACGGGAGCAGTAGGGAGCATCATTGTGTTGGTATTGGTGATGTTGCA